ACCGCGGAGTGACACCCTTAACAAAACACGAGGAGGCGCCGGGCAGGGGCGCACGCCTGCCATCCCGGCACTCGGGAGGCTGAGGCAGGAGGGTCTCCGTGCGTTCAAGGCCAGCCTGGGCTGCATGGCGAGGCCCTGCCTCAGCAAAGGAAGGGAGGAACGAATGGGAGCATCCGCACAGCGGCCCGGGGGCCCGCCTGCGAGCCCGTCTGCAAAGCTGACTTTGCTAGTCAATCTCTGCCGGGAGGGAGGGATGGGAAACCGCCGGTCTCCTCTGGAACGTGGGTGCCAAGCCTGCTGCAGAGAGCCTGGTGTTCCTTCTGTTTGGTTTTGGGGTGTGTTTTTGGAGACAAGGTCTCACTGTGCAGTCCGGGCTGGCCTCAAACTCTCAGAGATCCTCCTGCCTCAGCCTCCCTGGTGCTGGGCCGACAGGCGCGCCCCCACGCCCGGCTAAGCCTCTGGTTTGTAATCAGCACCTGGACTCAGGCTGGAGCGCTGCCACTCCCACACAGATGGAACTGGAGCAAATCATGAAAAGCAGGTGTCCTCTGGGAGTCCATGCAACAGCCTTGTAAGGGGAGCACCTGACACTGTCCCCTTCTGCCCACTGTGGCCACCAGGGCAGGACTGCGGGTGGCTTGTGACTTGCCTAACTGAGGAGCTGTGGAGAGCCTGACCTGTACCTCCGAAGAGGAATCTTCTTGGTGTGACCCCTGCATCACAGCTACCCAGGATGGTCCCACGCCCCAGCTTTATTTCTTCTCTGAGGACAAGGTCTGCAGTGATGGGGGTGAGGACCGTGGACCACATCCCCATGAGCAGAGCCTGTCTCCCTGCACTCACCCTTGCCCCCGACGGTACCTACCGCCACGGGGTAGCTTGAGTAAAGTTGTTTTTTGGTACCAGGGATAGAACTCGGGTCCTTGCGCTTGCGCAGCAGGCGGCGAAACCACTGAGCTAAATCCCCGGCCCACTGAGTAAAGTTTTAAGAACATGAATCAGACCCTGTTATCATCTTGCTGCTTCCCACTGAACTTAGCACAGAACCCAAACCCCCTGTTACAGCACACAGCCCATCCCGCAGGCCGAAGCCCAGCCCCACCCACTCAGCCCTTTCCCCACTGTGCCTTGCCCTCCTGGCAGGCCTGGTTGTCTCGCTGGCCCACCTGGTGGTTCTTGCAGCTCCTGTTCTAATCATAGAACAGTTTGACCTCCGGCTCATCCGGAGCTCCCCTGAAACACAACCCTCAGAGCACCTGAGGGTCTGATCCTTCAAACACCAAGGCCCCTCCTGAGCCCTGCTGTCCCGCTTCCTCACAGAATCCTTTTCCCTTACTTCACTGTGCTGTGTCCAGCTCTGTCCCAGGCGGCAGACGTGAGAGACGGTGCCTACCAGGTCTCTGGAAGCCTCCAGATCACTCATGCTATGCCTCAGATGGGCCTGAACCCCTGCAGCCAAACTGTCTCTGTAATGGCCATCTAGTCCCATTCAGATCGAGGCCTGGAAATGCGCAGCAGGCTGGATAAAGTGTGTCTCTGTTGTTGAAGCTGGGAGGGTATTTATTATGAGGACATTGCCAGGGTTGGGCCTGTATCTCAACTGTAGAGCACTTACCCAGCATGCCAAAGGCCCTGAGTTCAGCCCTGGGGGTGGGGACTTGCTAAAGGGAGCATGGACCAAGAGGACCAGGCCCACTGTTTGTTCCTTCCACGCCTCACATAAATCCCTGCCTTCCTTGAGCTGCAGGCCCTCAGGTGTACAGTGCAGATGGTCCTTATGCGCAACCTGCTTGCTTCTGACCTGTCCCAAGGAGTATCAAGCAAAGCATTACCTGGAGGTGCCCTTGAAATCTGTGATGGCTTTACAGGTCTCCCTATCACTATAATGATTTTTCTTCCTGGATAAAAGTTAAGCAGTGGAAATGAAACTAAATTAAAACTAACCCACCTCGTTGATGTTTGTTTGACCAGGTAACTTCAGTGCATTTATGCAGAAGGAGATCTTTGAACAGCCAGAATCCGTTTTCAATACCATGAGAGGCCGAGTGAACTTTGAGACCAACACAGGTAATCCCAAAACTCGTCAGGATCCGCCTGGGCTGCACCCTGTGAGTGAGCAGCCACGGTGTAGACCCAGCCCTGACACGGCCTGTGTGTCCCGTAGAGCTCCTGGGTGGCTTAAAGGACCACTTGAAGGAGATTCGACGATGCCGAAGGCTCATCCTGATTGGCTGTGGCACCAGCTACCACGCCGCTGTGGCTGTAAGTGTGCCACACTGGGTCCGGGGCAGTGCTGGGATTAGCGGCCTGAGTGCTGTTGCACACTGGCCTCTGAATGCAGCACAGTGCTCACACCCATAGCCACAAGCCAGCCTGGAAGTGGCACCAACATTTCCTCTGCAAGCCTCTCCCACTGGGACAGCAAGGCACTGGTGCACCTGGCGGGGGGTGACTGAGGGGCAGGGGCCTGGTCGTGGTAATGACTCTCCGCCTCTCTTTGGGCCCTTGCCCTGGCTCCAGCAAAGCATGCAGAAGAGGGGCTCTCTGTGAGTGACGCTTTCACAGGGAGCGCATCTCTCAGGTATCCGGTAGGGGACCTTTCTCAGCACATGGTATGCAGACAAGCTGTGATGCCTTTACAGTGCCCGCCACCGGGTCCTGCCCTGTGCTCTCTGCCTGTGCCCCTTTCGTGTGTCCCTGCAGCACCGTGTTACACGCGATCCCTCGAAGCCCAGCTGCCCTGCGTCTCTGCGGTGCCCAGGATGGACTTCAGCCTCTGTTCCTTTTGTCTTCAGACACGACAAGTGCTGGAGGAACTGACCGAGCTCCCTGTGATGGTTGAACTTGCCAGCGATTTCCTGGACAGGAACACACCTGTCTTCAGGGATGATGTCTGCTTTTTCATCAGCCAGTCCGGTAAGGGAGCCTGCAGGTAGCACGGCCAGACTTGCAGTAGCTCATCCCCAGCTTTTCTCTCCGCACCATACCACATGCTGGCCTTCCTTCCTTAGGCATTTAACCCTTGCAGGCATCAGCTACTGTCACCATTTTGTGGAGAGGGGTGTGAAAGAGCTGCAGTTGGCCTGAGAATCCAGATCCATTGTTTTTCTGTCCCCTGCCCTGTGGCTTCTCCCTGCTCCTGCCATCCCGAGTCTAGCGCTTTAAGGACCATAAACATTTGCTGGGTTTAATTTAGTGGACAAAAAAAATCTCATTCAAAATTCTTCTGGATTGAGATTCACATTGAGGACTCAGTGGGTCCTGTGCCCAAGCCATGCAGTCCCCCTGGTGCAGTGCCCACACTGCCCAGCAGGGGGGACGCTGAGTCACTGCTCGGGTTGGGGGCTTCCCCTAGGAGAGGAAGCCCTGCCTGGGTAACACTGCACAGTTAAGGGCCTTTGCCCTCACTTGGTTGAGCCCTGGGTCCAGAGGTGATCCGCAGTCACGTGCTCTGGAGTGCTTTTGAGCTTTAGAAGGATTTTTGAAACACTGTAATTATGAAGAATTCCAAGTTTTTGTAAAAGTAGAGAAATTCACATAATTCATCATCTGGTCCTAGCAATGATCAATTCAGCTAATCTGTCCCAGCCATACCCACATTAACCTCGCCCCTGAAGACACCACATCCTTTTCTCCACAAACCTCAGGATATGTGAAAAAAGATCCAGATGTAACCACAGGTTATTATCACATCTGAGAATTTGGCGTCATGCTCCAGTGTGTATAGGGGCGTTTAATACTGTTTCCATTTTCAATGTTCAATGCCATTTCCATTTCGATGCCAAGCTAAGTAAAACCAGAGCAGACACAGCCACCGTGTGGCCGGCCGACCACCTGTTACCTAAGGACTGCCATGCTCACCTCTGGGTGGACCATCCCACCAGAGCCAAACGATACTTCGTGGGTTGGCAGGAGCCGTTAGTAAAAGAACGGCGATGGAGTGCAGCGTGGCGACTGAAGCCTGTCACCCTAACTCTGTGGGGGCGGGGGTGGGAAATAGGGTCCATCTCCAGTATGGGAAAAAAGGAGATGGATTTTATATAAATATAATAGTGTCAGTCCTTGAGGCTCTACATACAGGGAAAAAACTTACCAAGTAACTTCAAGGCCAGCCTGAGCTACATAGCTAGACCCTGTCTCAAAACACAAAAATAAAACCAGGGGGGCCGGGGATTTAGCTCAGTGGTTCCGGCGCCTGCCTTGCAAGCGCTGGACCCGAGTTCAATCCCTGGTACCAAAAAATATATATAAATAAAACCAGGGGCGGGTCTGACGAAGGTGCTGCCCTGCCCTCCTGGTTTCCCTGCCATCCACCTCTGGTGCTGGGCAAGGCTGGATGCGCTGCAGCGTGCTGAGGAGTGGAGAGAGCTGGCCGGGCAGCCCTCGAGCACCGACCCGACCCGCACTGCGAAGCGCTTGGCTGAACACAGCCCCCAGCAGCGGCCTCCGAGGCGCCTGTGAGGAGCACCCTCAGAGACCCATGTGCATTCCAGTGGTTTTGACCCTGTGGTCTGGCTCCTGTTTATCTGGGTTGAATTTTTAAGACTTAGCGCAGAGTTTGCCCGGGTTGTGCATGAACCTGTTTAAGTAGCTTTATTGGAAAGGCCACTTTGAGGCCTCAGGAACTGTTTCCTTTCAAACACGATCTGTTTGAGGAACACCGCGTCGAGGTGTTCTGGGTGTTCACTGCTGAGTCTGTGGAGCCTCGAGTCCCGACCACGCAGCTTAGGGGTGTGGCAGGGCGCGGCCAGACCTGCAGTCAGCTGCCGCTCAGGGCTGGAGGGAGCTTCCCCTCGCCTTGTCCCAGGGGCGGGACAGGGTCAGGACGTCCGGAGAGCTCAGGACAGGACGAGCTGGGCTGCAAACTGCAAGGAAGCCTCAGTCTGGAGCTGAGCGGGCTGGGCGCGGGCGGGGCCGTACTCGGGCGGGGCCGTGCGCGGTGCGCTGAGGCCCAAGGCCGTCCCTCCCTTCCTTTGTCCCTCCCTCCCTGCCTCCCTCCGTGCAGGCGAGACCGCGGACACGCTCCTGGCGCTGCGCTACCGTGGGCGTCACCAACACCGTGGGCGGCTCCATCTCGCGCGAGACCGACTGCGACTGCGGCGTCCACGTCAACGCGGCTCGGAGATCGGCGTGGCCAGCGCCAAGGTAGGGGCCTCCCCGGGCGCCTCCTCCTGTCCCCGCAGCGCTGGTCCGTGCCGTCCCTCCGCCCACAGGCCTACACCAGCCCGTTCATCTCCCTGGTGATGTTTGGCTTGATGATGTCTGAAGACCGGATTTCGCTACAAAACAGGAGGCAAGAGATCACCCGGGGCCTGCGGTCCTTCCCCGGTATGTTCCCCAACTCCCTCTGCGCCTCTGCAGCTGCAGTCGTAGGCCTCGGCCCTTTAGACGACCGACCGCCCGGCAGCCACCCTCCTCCGCCCGCCCGCCCAGTGCTGAGCCCTCCCAGCCCCCACGGACCAGGGCCGCTAGCCCCGCACTGCAGGGGAACAAACAACAGAATTTGTTGCCAATAATAAACTTCAGGCTTTGGATCAAAACTTAGAATTTGGGAAAATTGTATCTACCACCACGAGCTTCACCACTTCCTGACTTTTCTGATGAGATCATGGTGGCATGGTTTTTTGTTTTCGGTTTTTTTTTTTTTTTTTGGTACCCGGAATCAAACTCGAGACCTTGCACTTTCAAGGCAGGCGCAGGAACCAGTGAGCTAAATCCCCAGCCCAGATCATGGTGGTTTTAACAAATGTGATTTCTAAGATGTATTTTATAATGAAATGTGTCCATTTTTAGAAGATGTACGGTTTAATTTGAAATCAGTGACTGACTTTCCTCCTGTGTGGACCACAGGGCTACGGAGAGAGCGGCAGATAGCTTCCAGTGCCCCGATTCCGCTGCTTACCCCAGTAAGGCTCTCAGGAAGCACTGAGAGGCATTAGCAGGCCTTGAAAGTCCAAGCCTGACCTCAGTGCACTCCGACCTCCACCGCCTGCATCCCACGCAGAGCCTTCTTTGCTTAGGGTCACTGGTTCACAGAGTAGAGTATTTCGGAGGACAGCAGTGAATCCCCAGTGAAGAGGTAGGTGCACGGGCCAAGGTATGGGCAGAGGGACGTGGGCTTCCATGCTCATCTGGACAGATCACCCTCCAGGATCCTCCAGGCGTCTTTAGTGTTGTTGCGGACGCTGATGATACAGGCAGGATCGATTCACATCTCCAGTGATGATCCCTTTAACCTTAACCCTCACCTAGGGTTGGGGCACAGAGCTGAAAGTTCCAGCCTGCTGATTCTGCCTCCATCTTTCTGGTGACCCGGCCCCATCTTGAAGCTACCGAGGAGCTGTCAGCCAGCAGTTAATCGTTAGCACCTGTCACTCTAAGAGTCCAAGGATTTTAGGATTATATGCCGGGAAAGAGAGATGAAGACAACGTACATATTTCACAATCCCTGGCCTTTGAACTCAGGGTGGTAGGAGATTCTGACTGCTGTCAGAAAAAGTGAGGAGCTGCCACACACTGCTTCTCAAAGGGTGCAGTGGAGACAGGGCCTGGGTGGGTGCACTTTTAGCCCCCAGTAGTTCTGCCGCCAGGCTGGGATGCTCAGCTGCAGTGGCCAAGTGTACTGGTGAACGATGCATATTCAACATCGTCTCCACACTAGTCACTGGCAAAGAAAGAAGCCTTTAGGCTATTGCTGGCACAAGTGAATGGCCCCTGTGTGGCCCCTTGGAGGCCAGGACTCCAGCTGTCTGCAGCCGCCAGGGAGGAGCCTCAGTCCCTACAGTGTTTCCATGACCCAGAGGAATGGCTCCGGGGAAGGAGAGATGTTTCCTTCGATGGTCTCATCGGGGCAATGACATGGGTTTAATGGTAACAGTAGACGCGGGTCTGCCTCGTGTAGTGCAAACATATATTAAGGAAAAAAGAAACGGATCTTACCTGAACATAAGAAAAAATTGAAATAGCCCAGAGGATGTGATTTCGTTTGATAGGTCAGCTGGAGCGACCCTCTGGAAGGTATGAAGGCTCTAAAGTTGAAGGAATGACGAACCGACTAGCAGAATAAGGGTCAGTCTGTGCTGGCACAGTGGTGTTGTCCATGGTGACGGGAAACCATGAGTCTGGCTCACCAGGAGGAAGGAGGGAGACCAGTGCTGACTTTGTATCCAAAGTGGGGGGCTGTGTGTGCGACTGAAGAGATGGAGCTGTAGCGCCTGGGGCTGGCCTGAGGACCCTGAGCCAGCGAGCCAGCGGCGGTGTGTGCTCGGGACAGGAAGCCCTGGCCCTGCCTCGCCATTCCTGCCGTGACGGGTCCATGCACCCATTGGCCTTTCAGCCCCAAGCTCCTGCCTTCCCGAGTTATCCCTCTCCTCGCTTCCCTTCCTCCTTTCTGGCTGATCTGCTCCAGCCCCTGTCTGCCCAGGGTGATACTGAGCTGTTGTGTTTTTCCAGAAAATTAAAGAGATGACCTACATGCATTCGGAAGGCATCCTGGCCGGGGAGCTGAAGCACGGGCCCCTGGCACTGGTTGACAAGCAGATGCCAGTCATCATGGTGATCATGAAGGATCCTTGTTTTGCCAAATGCCAGAACGCTTTGCAGCAAGTCACAGCCCGCCAGGTGAGGCCTCTGCTGGTCCGGGGTAGGTCTTCTTTTGTGTCCTCTCATATAGTAGCAAAATGAGGGCGCTTGCTGGGCCTCTAAGGGCACCAACCCCATTCACGAGGGCTCCACCTTCATGGCTTAATCACCCTCTAAAGGCCCCACTTCCAATACCATCATATTGAAGGTTAGGATTTCAACATACAAATTGGGGGTGCAGGAACAAACACAGACCACAGAAGAAGGTACAGTTTTTTAACAGCTTGTGGGTCTGGAAATGACTTTATTACACTTCCAAGGGTCTACCTAAATATAGAATTCTAGGTCAAAAAAATTTTCCTTTCCAAATTTTAAAGGGAAGACCAGTATCATCTCGTTCCCAGTGTTGCTGTTGAGGAGTCCAAAGTCACTCTGAGGAGTCCTTGTAGGTGACCTTTTATCTCCTGTTTGTTCCTTGTGTTCTAAAACATCACGTGGTGCCTCAGGGCTCTTGTCATTGAGAGCTGATTTGAGCCAGTAACTCATGCCCTTCAGCAGAATATTCTTACAGTCACCATCTCTGCCGTGGAGTTCTGTTTCTCTGGCCTCTCTAGAATGCCTGTTAGAAGTTGAAGCCCTGGATTGACCTGTGCATTTGTCCTTCCTTTTGTCTATCGTGTTGTCTACTAATTGTGAAACTTACTCCATTTTATCTCCCAACCTATCACTAAGATTTTTCATTTCTGCCAACATAATTTCCCAGAGCCCTTTGATTTGAATATAGAAGTATTTTATAACACGGTTTTAAAAATTAAAGTCTACCCTACCATCACATCTGGCTTTTATCTCACGCACTTTTTCTGTTCTGGGGCACCACATGCCTGTCTCCTTGGGCTCCTCTCGGCTGTGAGTTTCTCACCTTCCCTGCTTTGGTTGACCTTGACAGTGCTAGGAGTACTGGCGGTATTTTGTCCAGTGTCCCTCGGCTGGGTTTGTGTGATGCTTTTCTCGAGGTCAGAATGGGTTTTTAGGAGGAAGACCACAAGCAAAGAGCCATTGTCATCACTTTGACTCCAGGATACACACTAGCAACAAGTCTGGCCACTCCGCCACTGAGCTTGATCATCTCTGAGGCGGTGTGCCAAGTTTCCCTATGATATGGGTACCCAACCTACTTCTGTACTATTTTGTTGCTCAGATAGTTCTCGCTCTGGTTACTGGAGGCTTTCAATGGCCTTCTGTGTCTGACATACCCCCATCATTGTGTGTGCTTGTGTGGTTTGGGGGGTTTTTTTGTTGTTGTTTTTTCCAGTACCGGGGATCAAACTCAGGACCTTGTGCTTGCGTGGCAGGCGCCGGAACCACTGAGCTAAATCCCCAGCCCAGTGTGCTTGTGTGTTAAAAAAGAGAATGGAAGGGGAAAATGGAAACAGCTTTTGTAAATGGGGAGGGGAAGAAGGGTTGAAGGGAAGGGGGGGAAATGGGAAAAAAAGAATTGAGACATATTATGTACAGGTATAAATTCCCTGTGATGTGTGATCACTAAGTATGGCAAATAAGTACTAATAAAATGATTTTAATAATTAAAATCATTAAAAAAAAGAGAATGGTGTAGAGTAATGACACCACCCAGTGCACAGGTCCATGTGCAGTCCATGGGGACACCACTATAATAAAAATACACAGGACTTGAGGATCCCTCTGCTGAGGATTCCCGAACACTTTATCCAAAGCCCCAGTTATATCTCTGAGACCTGCCCAGGGATGCCGGTCTGCACTGCACCTCATTTAGACAGCAGGAGTCCCGGGACACAGGAGAATTAAGTGATGCGTCCAGCACCATGGCTTGAATGTCCCATAAAACCCATGTGCTGAAACTACGTCTGCAACACAGCACCAGTGAGCGCCAGTGATGAGGTCTCGAGGGCTCCACGGTCATTAGTTACTACAGTCCGCATCTTGGGAATGGACTCAGCATTGGTAGAGCAGGTCAGTTACAAACATCAGTCATACCGAAAGCCAGCTGCATGTGGTAGGTGGCCCTGGCCTTCACCACCAGCGTAACATGGCTACTGTGCTTTCTTAACTTCGTTTTTCCTTTTTGGTGCCAGAGATCAAACTCGGGACCTTGCACTTACAAGGCAGGCGGCGGAACCACTGAGCTAACTCCCCAGCTCTTAACTTTTTATAGTGATTCACTTCAGTGATTCTTACAGAGAAAATACGCAGGATAATAACTAATGTTGGAGGGAAACTTCCATTTTATTTTATTTTTTTGACTCTTGAGACAGGATCTCACTATGGAGCCCAGGCTGGCCTAGAACTTGCAGCAATCCTCCTGCCTCAGCCTCCTGAGTGCTGGGATGACAGGCATGTGCCACCAGGCCCCGCTGGAAAACTTCCATTTTAAATGTTACATTTTGCACTCCCTATTCCATTCGAGATGGTTCCATCCTGTATTTGATGTTAGTTTCTGAGTTCCTATAGCAAGTGGACGTAATGGGAGGTAGTTTGGCATAGTTTAAGGGCCTGAGTCCCTTGGCAAATCAACTTAGCTTTTCTGAGCCTCTGGCTTTATCTGTAAGATGAAAGAAAGGCATGCAGGGACCCACAGTCCTCTGCCGCTGTGACAGTGCATGGCGCTCTTCACATCTGTGACCCGAGTTCTCCATGAGCAGATCATGCACATGACAACACGGGGTGGGGCTGGGGATTCTCAAAAGTGTGCACAGGGTGGAGAGAAGCCTGACTTCTGCAGGAACCCCAGGAAGCTTGGCAACTAATTTCTACCTTCTGGTGAGTTACTTTTATGTTTAATAGGACTTTTGTTAATTTTCAGAAGTTCCAGAACAGGAGCAGAGCATACTCTGATTCTTAGGAATCAGTGCCAGGTCACAGTTTGAATGATCATTTCCCATAATTCCTTGAGTAAACAAAAAACCTTTGGGAACAACTGCACAGTGAGGATTATCCGGAGGGACATGGCTATCTCATTGGTGGAAAAACAATATTTGGGTGGATATACACGATACCTTCTTGCACTGTTGTACAAGACTGTGTTGCAAAGGTGCAACAGGTGAAAACAGGGCTGAACAGAGGAACGAACAGACCGAGACTTCTGCAGGTGGTCTGTCAGCTGGCTGACCAGCAGCTCATCTTTGGCCTGGCCAACCTATTCCAAAAGAGAAAAACCCCAGCGAGTTCAACATCTTCAGCCTAGCAAGAGGGTGGTAAAAGATGATGTTCTGCTAAGGAAGTAGGATAAAAACCACAAAGTAAAACACTTTATCTGCAGTTAAGTGCCTGAGATTCAGTACAGGCTCAGGGTCTTTCTTCATTCATTTGTAGTCTTTCACTGATAAAAAGGTATCCTTAGAAAGCGTTTCTCATTGATATCAAAGTACCGTGTTTTGTTTGCACATAGAGAATATACTGGGATGTTTCAATAGAGACCTTGTGAATAGCACTGCACCCTGAGCACAAGACCTGGGCCTTACACAGGCTGAGCGTCCCCACAGTTTGAATCTAAAACTTTCTGAGCACCAACAAATGCTCAAGGAGTTTTGGGTTTTGGAGCATTCAAATTGTGTATTAACTATGCTCAACCAATAGTCAAAAATATTTCAAAATCCACGCCCTCCCCCCCAAAAAAAACCCAAATCGGAAACACTTCTGGTCCCAAGTGCTTCAGGTAAAGGGTACTCAACCTGTATAACATAACTCACTGTGCCCCTCTTCTGTGGCAACTCCCCAAGGACTCGCACCAGCCCGAGCTTTGTGTAAAGGAAAAGAAAGGAGTGTGATAGCCATGGGAGTCCAGAAGAGGGCGGCAGCCAGAAACTTGAGGGGTGCTGTGGCGCTGCCCCTGGTTTAGACATCTCAAAGAAACCAGCTCCAGCCAGCCGTGATGGTGCAGACCTGTGATCCCAGCCCTCTGGGTTCAGCCTGGGTGAGACCTTGTCTCAAAAAATAAAAGCAGGCCTGGGACGTAACTCAGTGAGAAGGCCCTAGGTTCAGCTCCCAGTACTGCCAACAAAACAGAACAGAAACAACACATCTCCATATGCTGAGAGTTAAATCACTGAAGAGCTGGGTGATGCTGATGAGGATAATAATACGCTGTATTAGAAGAAGGAAATGTAACAGTGTGAGTTGGCAGGGATAGAATGTATGAGGTGAAGAATTTGGGGAAACACTAGGGAATTGCTTTCAAAATTAGGAAGTGTCAGAGCTAGGTTCCTACTGGAAAGAGACGAGCAAGAACACAGCCAGCACTCAGCCAAGGGGAAAGATCTCTGAACAGAGCTCCTCTCCCTCTGGTGACTTCCGGTCACTCACAGCATCATGTTCTAGCTGCAAATCCTTTAGTGCTGCTAAGCTGCTCCATAATTTTTTTCACAAACTATTCTTCCTGCATCACAGCATCTTAGAGTAGCAAATATGCCCAGCACACAAATTATGGAATCTAAACAACATTTCTCTTCTAAACTTTAAGCCTCCTTAAACCAGTGACTGGTCTGGGGCAAGAAATAGAGTCTGTAAGATCTTGTCCATGAGAGTAAGGGAGCTATCAAAGACGAATAGGATTGTGTCAAAAGGAAGTAATAGTTAATGTAAAGGAACAATTCTGGGGATCAAATATAGCAGTGACCTCAATGGATTGAGATCCATCACATATACTAAGAGTGTATCAGTTTACAATGATTTAAAAAAGAAAAGTATCCCACTGGTTACTTTCAGAAGATGCTAATAAGCCACTCATTTTGAAAACTAGTAAATAAAGGGGGAAAAATCAAATATTTATCCAACCTTTTATCTTTGGGTAATTGAGTAGCTGACGAGGTAAAAGTTCTGTATAAAAGAATTATAGGAGTCAATGCAGATGATAGAATATTACTATTTTACAATGTTGAATGAAATAATGTAAAGTGAAGCAACTTTGGGAAACATTTGGGCAGCTCCTCGACATATTAACATATGGCCTTGGAATTCTACTTCTAAGTAATATTTCATTTCCTAAGAGAAATGAAACACATGTCCACACAAAACTAACACATAGATGTTAACAGTATCATCATTACCCATAATAGCCTGAAGAATGGAAAAAACCCAAATGTGCACCTGATAAACAGATAATCAAAATGTGGTATATGCATACTAAGAAATATTATCAAGCCAAATGAAGTCCTGATGCAGGTTACAACATGGAAGATCTTGAAAACATGCTCAACGAAAGCAGCCATACACAAAAGGCCATGTATTGTATGATTCCATTACATAAAATGTCTTCAGTAGACAAATGTGGAGAAACATAGTATCTTATAATACGCAACAATATAATGAAGACAGTGTGGTATTGGCCCACGGTCAGATTACTAAAACAATGGAAGTGAGCAAAGAATCCCAAACCAGACAGAGATGGGTAAACAGGCAGATAGTCATTTTATCTAGGACAGACACTCCCTGGTAATTTAGTGGGGAAAAGATTGCATTTTGCTAAATGGTAGGAGGTCAATTGGAGATCCACATGGAAAAAAAACCCTCTTGACCCCTACATCTCATACCATACACAAAAACTAATTCAGGGTGGGCAGAAGCCTAAATGAGAAAGTTAAATAATCACAAGTGTAAGAGGAATGTGTGCATGACCACAGGACAGCCAAAGGTTTCTTAAACTGGACGAAGAAGCATTAACTATAAAAGATGCATAAGCTAGACTTTATTAAGACATAGAATTGATGTTCATCAAGATACCACTAGGACACAAAAGGCAAGCCACATCCTAGGAGATTTTCACAGTACACGTTTCTGATGGAAAGACTTGCATCCAGACGATACAACAAAATCCTGTAAATCAGTGAGAATGAAATGATACAATTCAAATCTGGAAAAAAAGACTGGAACAGCATTTCACAAGGGGATAGTCAAGTGGTCAATAAACATATGAAAAGGAATTTATTCTCAGTCATTAGAAAAATGAATGAAAAGCATAATGAGAAATCACTACACATCTATCAAAACAGTTAGACAGACTGATAGGCACTGGTAAAGATGCACAGAGACTAAAATGTCTTACATGACTGGCAGAGTATAAACTGGTACAGCCACTTTGAAAAAAATGTTTGGTGCCATCTGCTGCTCCTAAAACTACGCACACCCTATGACATTATAATTCTGCTCCTGGGTATATAAAAACGAGTGCTGTGTTTGCATCCACCAAAAGACATGAACAGTGCCCATGTGGTTTTATTCGTATGTCCAAACTAGCAATGACCCACATGCCCCCTGACAGAGTAGGTGGTAAATAAACTGTGGCTTAGTCATTTAAGTAGGCTACTTACTACACAGCAACAAGTAAGAATGGACCCCTGCCCCACACGATAGCACCAACACATTCCCAGACATGATGCTGACTGAAAGCTAGTGGGCACAGGGAGTTGCTATGCACGACTCTAGGACGAAGTTCATGAAGAGGACAGAAGCAGGACCGGGGTTGCCCTTGTTGGGGTGCTGGGTGGGCGGAGACATAAGGGAGCCTCTGGGGGAATGGAAAGTTCTATGTCAGCGTCCGTGAGGTGCTGAAGATACTGAGTTGTACACTCAGAATCTGTGCACTTCACTGTTTACGTTACACCCAAGAAAACCCACATGTTCTCATCTTGTAGACACAGGAAAGGAGGCTATCGATATGGTGACTGTCACTGGCTCCAAATGAACCAAGGAAAGAGGTGGGGATAGGAGGAAGATTGTGGAAGGCAGATGATGGCTATGTGACATGTATTGTTTGGTCCACTTTTGCATATATTTGAACATTTCAGAAACTGTCAAATGCCGGCATTCCTTTTTTTTTTTGGTACTGGGGATTGAACTCAGGACCTTGTGCTTTCGAGGGAGGTAGCAGCACCACTAAGCTAAATTCCTGGCCCTCAAATGCTGGCATTCTTAAAAGTTTCATTATAGAATTTACTTACAGTTTCAATTGCCATTTCTATTGCCATACTGTCTTCTGAGCTTGGGCATTTCAGGAAGTGCTTCAGTGCCTTAAATGAGAAAGGTACAGCAGTTAAAAACTTCAGACTCCATTCACACTGGAAAACACAAAGCTTACACAAAGTACTTAGAGTTTGTGCAGGTATTTTCATCTCAATCAGAGGCTTGCAAGTGCTGGGTCTTAAATATATACTGCAAAGGCTAGGGGCCTAGTTTTAAAAAGTAGCAGGATCCAGTTAATGCTCTGAAGTTCTGCTTTTGGAGGAAATTAAGGTGCACGATAGGACTATTCACTTATGCCTTCACCAGCACTCACTGACAACCTGCCACTATGCATGTGGATGGGGCTGGATCCTGGGAGTCGCACAGGAAGGGTCTGGATCCTCCTCTTTGTGTTAGTATGAGCTCACTGGGGATTGTGTATCACACAGTAACAAGAAAAGGAACCACCCGTTTTAAGTGATTACTAAGTCCTGAACGTCACACCTGCAAACAAATGAAACAGCTTAAAAGACAAATGGGCAGCGTAGCCAGTCAGTTTCAGAGGAAGCAAAGGTGACAAAGCTGCAAGATGCACAGGTCTGTGGGGGCAGTGGAGGCGGCAGAGGGATCAAGGGTGGTGAGGGCGGGAACCCCGGAGGCCCGGACTGGAGGCTCCGGCTGCCGGGCCCAATGGGGGAAATCCTCCTGGGTGCTAGATAAGGAGTCTGGACGTTTTCTAAGAGGCCAGAAACAGCAAAGTGGCAGCTTGTAAGCTGGATTCACACGCAGACATGTCTTTAGATAGAGAGATATTGTGCAAATACCTAGATTTGTTTCTCTTGGAAAAGAAAATCACATGACCTCGCATTGCTAGGTCCTGCCTCCTGAACGTGCCCGAGGTGAGCAGCAGCTGTCCCTGCAGACAAGATACACGTGGTCCAGTGGCCCCCACACTGTCACACGGTCAGCGGGCAGCTTCGCCCACGGCGAAACATTCTCTGGTACAGACTCTAACCCCTGCCTCAGGCCAAGCAAGTGCTGCACTGGGGGAATGATGGATGCAATACAGGCAGAGAAACTAAAAGCAGGAAAAGAAAAAAAGACTGCAGTAATTGCAGGAAGGCGATCCGGGTGTGAGCCGGGTCGGTGGTAGTTAGCATGAAAGAGACAGGTGGGAGAGATTTTAGGAAGGAAGATAGTTACTGGGTATGGGAGGGAGAGAGAGATTTCCAAGTTGATTCTGAGCGGGTGTGGTGGGGGGTGGCTCAGCAGTAGAGCTCAGGCTCAACATGCGGAGGCCCTGGGTTCGATCCCCAGTCCAAACTATAACAAAATAAGCTCATTCTGAGATTTCAAATCTGGATGTTTAGGATGATGCTGGCATTAAAAAAAATATTTCATCCTTCCTCTAAGAGTCCAAGGTATGTTTTCTTGGTGAATACTAACTCGTGAATATTGGCCACACAGCAAGAAGGATTTTCCAACCTGAATATGTCTTTTTCCCCCTTCAAAGTATAAGGCGATGCTTTGGTAGTCTTCACTGGATGTGTCTTCAGAACCTACAACGGAAGTTCGCTGAGTGAAAAGTTTGAGCAGAATGTTTTACCTTTTACTGCTAATCTACAAGTACAATCTAAGAAGAGGTGATCTAAAAATAGCAGAGTGAAAACCCTTATGGCAAGGACCAGTTATTAGCGTATGTCTATTTGATGAAACACGTTCATGATAATCACCCTAACTATTAACTCTACTCCATCTTCATTTCAGTCTAAACACGATCAGGAGAGGAAATTATTATGAGGCTTTTTTGAGAGTCTAGGTTATAGTCTGTCATGAGCCTTTGAAACCTTCATCATTCTGAGTCTCAGTCTCATTTCCTAAAACAAGAACCCCTATGACTACAGCCTCAGCCATGATCTGCCTAGTTTTAGAACAATCAGAAGCCAAGTTACCCTACCACAGATGTAATCCATGTCCCCTTCCCAGCAAACCCTGCCTGGTTTGAACAACGGCACATGTGTGTTTCTCAGTCGTATAGGGAAGAGGACATTCAAGTGGCCAACAGATGCTGGTTACAGATGTTACTGTTCTGCTACTGTTTTCTTTTGGTTTAGGGCTTTTAAACTTATCAAGCATGGAGAAGGAACGACCCCATGGCTGCTGGAGTTCCAAATTATTGTTTACATTTGAGATGGAGGCCGGGGAGGATAACAACAGCCTTATACCTCCAGACAGACAGATACGGAGTCGAAAAGAAAAAGACATAAAATAAGGTGGAGAAAAGGGTGTGTGTTTTGGGGGTGGGAGAAAATCTACCTATTTATATCCCTTATAAAGCTATACTCTTATGGACTTAGAGAAACTTAAGTTCTTTCATACAATAATGATTTGTAATGTTCGGACAGAAATGTCATCTGTCAAGCTAAACATTAGCAACTGTAAACTCGTTTGTATCTGTACTTTTTTCCTTTAGCTCTTTATTTACTTCAGTTATCTTACTGGCTTCCCAACACATGTTCCTTTGAAGACTGACACCGAAATCTTCCCATGAATCCCATCATCAATTCTTCTGGTCATACTGCGAATTTTAAAAACACGAAGTAACACAAAAGGACAAGTTATTTTATAACTCCACTGTGCCATGAACAGTCATATTCATGAAGACAGAAAGTAGAACAGTGATTTCTAAAGGCTACAGGAGGGTGGTGAGAAGCAATTCTTCAGTGGGTACAGAGCTTTAAAGCGGGATGATGACAAAGTTCGGGGGATGGCTGCATCAGCGTGAATGGACTTTAATGCAACAGAACTGAACACTCCTTTTCTTTTTTGCAGTGCTAAGGATCAAACCCAGGGCCTCGAGTATGTTAGACAAGTGCTCTATCACTGACTTACACCTCCAGCCCCAGAAATGCATAGTTTTATAAATGGAAATTTTATGTTATGTACACAAAATAAAAATCTGAACAACTGTAAACACGGGAAGAAAACCTAAAAGCAGGCATTTTCAGAATATAAAATTTTCCTTCGGATTATTAAAATCATTAAAAAAAATTTTTAGTTTTTTTTTTTTTTGTACCAGGGATCGAACTCAGGACCTTGTGCTTGTGAGGCAGGCACGGTGCCACTGAGCTAAATCCCCAGCCCTCTACATATCACTCTTTATCAGAGCAATAATATATTCTTCACTTATAACTCTTTTAAAAAATTTAAAAAATATTTACAGCTTCTAAAATCATCCTGAACTTCTATCACACCTTCACAGTGAAATTTTGTTTACTTCTAATGGCTGATAAATAGCAGAATTTGCAAAATCTGGCCTGTCTTGGAATTCATCCCCATAGACTTAGTTTTTGAAAACAGTACTTTTCTTTATATGGTAATACCACCTCACCTGTAAGTGGGGATCCTGACATCTGGCTAGTAACACAGATACACACGTTGATATATAAATGGTACTCATTTACAAGAATGTTCCTGTGTGTACACCAATCTGGTAATTTGATCGTAAGAGTCAAAGTGTTCTTATGATATAAGTATTTCAGAGAACTTAGGGAAAACCGTGATATTTACCAGTGATGTCTGCATAGATTTCCATTTTGTTGTGTTGCTAAGCCAGGGTGAAAGCTTCACTGTTAAATTTGGACATGACAAGAAACTGGATGGCAGACCCACAGTCACCGAGCTGTAGGAAAAACCTAAAACAAAGTGCTTTAATTAGCTTAACTCTCATGTAAAATAAGTTTGTCATTTACAAAGTAAAATCTTTCTCAATCAGAAAATAAGTAATTTATTGCATAAACTGCAGTTTTAGGTTACGTGTGTACACGTGACAAGCATACTCTCAAAAGGTGACTGTAAGAGCCTTTGAACTGAAACAAACCTTTAGATATAATTCTAAAAAAAAAAAAAAATCAAACCCACAAAGAATAAATATTCCTTTTGAATTTTGGTATTTGATGGGGTGAGGTGGGGCCTGTCTTTCAAAGTTAGTTTTTAGGACTCCAGAGACATCAGTGCTCTGTGTCACCTGGATACCACCTTGGCCTGTCCAGAGACTGGGTCTCTCTGACGATGCTGGTGGCCTTTTCTGGGTTGTTGAGGTGGTCTAGGTAGGGGCGGATCACACCGTTCCACTGCTTGGCATTCTCGTAAGCCACCACAGCTTCCTTGTATCTGGAAGAAACACTCAGTTCCAAAAAAGATTCTCAACCCTGTTCAACTTAGGCGGAGGAAATGTGCATAAATGTTTGGAATACTTTTCTATTGCATTGATGGTAGTTGTTTTTGTTTAAATCTCTTTTTCTTCATCAGAAAAAAAAAAACTCCAGCAACTCCCCAACAAAAATATGTTCTTTTTAGGGATTTAAGAAACTGGGCCGGGGATTTAGCTTAGTGGTTCTGCTGCCTGCCTTGAAAGTGCAAGGTTCCGAGTTCGATCCCTGGTACCCAAAAAAAAAAAAAGTCATATATAAGCTTGGGAGTTATCTTTGCTAACTAGTTATCTAGGCAAAAGTGCCTAGAGCTTATGAAGAAACTAACAGCACAAGTGGAGTATTGTTTTTTTTTTCCCGGTACCGGGGGTCAAACTCAGGACCTTGCGCTTGCAAGGCAGACGCCACTGACCTAAATTCCCGGCCCCCAACTGTTTTTTTCAAAATATCAATGCAATATTAGATCGCAGTTTTTGCATCTGAATCAAAGCTTCTGTACAATTTACATTTTACTGTTTCTTCTTTTCTAGTGGTAAGATTATGACAGCAATATAGGATTATTTTAGAAAATAAAGAATTCTTCACAATTACAGTATATAAAGCTTAACAGTGACGTATAAAATCTTTGTGTGTTGACCTCTAGGTGGCACTCAGTACTTCTTTTTAGTTTGGACTAATTCTAGCTCTTTCAATTTCAACAAGACAGTATATATCTCTATTTCCCAAGGTTACTTTTCTAAAAGTGAGAGTGTACTAACCTTTAAAAGTCTCTTCATAGATATTTATAAAGTTACTTTCCAAAGGGCATAGAAATTGACACTTTTATCAGTCAAGTATAACAAATGCACTTTAACAATATAGTTATGAAACTAAATCTTTCCAAATATGATAGCATGCTTTTATTATAATTTGTGAAGCAGAACTTTTTTCCTGCATATGGAAATACAATTTCAAATTGTTTTTCCTTCTCTAGGACACATTGTCTTCCTGTCTTTAGTCCCCTTTTCTATTAGTTTCTGTACAGTATCGTAGATCTTGTTATATCACTGCTATATTTTAGTTTTGTTTTCTGGCTTAAATAGTGTACTATATCTCCCTAAGTCTGGAATTCATGCTTTTGTGTTTTTCTTTCCTTCTATGCCCTTAGGTTATCCTTCCTTAAAAAACAAACAAACAAAACCAAACAACCATTTAACTCCCATTTCGTACCATGTCATACCAGAACATCAACATTCAGTATTTAACCCTCAAATAAAAAGAAGCAGGGCTGGGGATTTAGCTCAGTGGTTTCGCCGCCTGCTGCGCAAGCACAGGGACCCAAGTTCGATCCCTGGTACCAAAAAAATAAAAAAATAAAAAGAAGCAATAGACTATATTTGAATAAACAAAGGAAAGGCGGAGGTGTGAGGTGTAGGAAGATGTTAAAGTCTGCACTTGAGGCCAGGGAGGGAGCATGCGAAACGTTCTCTTTCTCTGCTTTCCATTTCTTAGAGGGTTGTAAATATCACTGGTTAACTTATCAAACTTTCACTGCTTAACATATTCCCGCTGGCTTGAACCGCTGGCGGTACATGCATGACTGTCCCATTGGGCAGCTTGTACTTCGGATAGGACTGTCCCGTGCATGTACCACCGGTGATTCAGAGCACCCGGCAGCGAGACATGTGAATGACAGCCCCCTCATGAACACGTTAAATTTGTATAAATCTGAGAAACTACAAACCTTCCATCTGCGTCCTTAGCTTTGGCATACTGCAAGTGGATCTTAGCAGAGGAGATGTGAGGCAGAAGCTCGCGAACTTTTGCCCTAAAAGGAAGATTCAAGGAGAATGGTAGTGACAGTCTGTTCCCTCCACAGCAGCTGCCTACAACCAAATGCCAGTTTTTAGGATTCAAAAACCAGTTATCATCAACTTTCAAAAATCTTGGCTTCTACAGGTAAAAGTAGACTCACCTGCCTTTTCTCTTAATATGCCTACTCAGCCTACAGTTTTGTTTGTTTTTCCCTAGTAACTTACCTGATTAGGAATCTCCCCATACCAAACCACACAAGGTGCTGTTCTTTGGGAAAAGAGTATTCATATGAACTCCTCTGTGTAGTAAAGACAGAGGTGGAAGGTGCAGCAAGGAGGGAGCATGTAAATCCCGACACATTCATTTCCACACCTGATGTAGCACACAGTGGCCAGCCCTTACCAGTTCTCACGGCGGATGTACACAGACGCGGCTTTGTTGCAGTAGAGGCCTTTTTCATACAGTTGGGCTGCTTCTGAAAATTGCTGAAATAACACAGGGTTATTAAAATCCTACACTGGTCATGCAAAGACCACACGGCTATTTCCGCAGAGTGAAGAATACCTTCATATTCTCCAGTACGGCTCCACAGTCTCGCTTCAGGACCCTGCTGGGCTGCTTGAGGGCTTGGTTCAGCCCTCTGCGGATGTCACCCATCCGGATGGACATCCGGGCCACTCCAGCCAGGCTCAGCTCGTCCTGTTCCTGTAGGGAGGAGGCAGCGCCAGCATCAGACCCTAACTCAAGGCCTGCATCTCAGCCAGTTCAAAGCTTAGTGTTGGCTTCCTTTTCCAGGAAGCCTATAATTTTGAAATAATGTTGGTATGGGGGATCGAACTTGGGTTCTTGCGCTTGCAAGACAGGCGGCGGAACCACTGAGCTAAATCCCCGGCCCGTTTTTTTTAAACGGTGGTTTCTCCCCCTTTTGCACAAGTGCAAGGACCCGAGTTTGATCCACGGTACCAAAAAAACAACAAAAAAACACACCAAACAAACCCCAACTATTACAATGTTCTACATTTTTTCTTTGGGAGTCTAGATCTTTCACCCTTAAAACAAAATATTTACTATCCTGTGTGACAATACCTCAAATGGGTCTTGGCACAATATTGTTTATAAGTAGTAATATACTGGCCATCGTAACATAAATATTATGAATAAATTTAGGGAACATCATTTATCAAATTAAAGATTTCTGTGCTAGGCATGGTTGAACGTCAGTAAACTTTGTTTACTTAGAAGTGTTTAATTCATTAAAGATATCAAGCACTTGGGAGGCAGGCAGGCAGGAGGGTCGGGAGTTTGAGAAAGGCCAGACTACACAGTGAGAGCCTAACCCTAAATACAGAAGTAATAGTAATAATAATGGTGACGATAACAAAGACAACGAAAGAACTTTTCTAGTAACCGATCTGTTCTAGTAAAATGCAGTGTTGGATTGTACTTTACCTAAAGTAGCACGTGCAGCAGAACTTCTGGTGGTAACAGGAATGTTGATGTACGGGCCTGTCCGACATGGTAGCTAATAGTCAGTCACAGGCGGCGGCTGGGCATTTGAAGTATGACAAGTGTGAAAGCACTAAACTTTCAGTTTTATTTAATTTTAAATAATTTAAACTGCCACATGTAGCTGGTAGCGGTAGCTACATTTGACAGCAGAGACAGAGAATGAACTAAACAAAAATGTAGTCAAAGAAAGAAAATGTCAAAAACCTGAGACAAATGAGCAAAGAATAGGAACGGATAATTCATTAAAAACTGGCCAGGCTGGGGATTTAGCTCAGTGGTGCCACCGCCTGCCTTGCAAGCGCAAGATCCTGAGTTCGAGCCCCAGTACGAAAACAAAACAACAACAACAACAAAAAAACTGGCCAATAAATAAAAACATGCTTAACTTTACTACTAATAAAAAAACATAAAATATATATATTTTTGCTTACCAAATTAAGTGATTCACTATTACTGATAATACTGTATAAGAAAATAGACACCATCATATACAACTGATAGGTGTGAATTACTGTAATTTGTTTTGGGGAACAATTTAGCTGTATCAGAAATTAAAAACATGTTTTATGGCCTAGAAATTCCACTTGTAAGAATGTTCCCTTCAGAAATACTATCGCTGGGTTTAGTGGGTGACATTTCAGGGTGTGATATGGGACCAAATACTAGACTCTGAGTTTCCACTTTAACAAACTGTGGTGGTTTTAAAAATTGCATATGATGAGCTTTCATTCCTCTTGTACTAACTATGCTACATGTAAACAGAAAATAAAAGATTCAACCTTTACATCAACTTAAAAACACCAATTTTATTACAAAATTGAGCTTCTCAAGCTAAAATTCTGAGATGAGAGAATGCAGTAGGTATAGGATTCATTTTTTTTGGAGGGGGGATCAAATCTAGGGCATGTGCACTGAGCTATATTCCTGGCTCTTTTTATTTTTTGTTTAACAAGGTCTCACTAAATCATTAAGTTGACCAGGCTGGGTTTGAACTTGTGACCGTCCTGCTTCAGCCTCCTGAGTAACAGGTATTATATGAGTGTGTATCACCGTGCCTGGCTTTCTAGGGTCATCTGAAGACTGGTGTTAGAGGTAGGATGGCAGAATTGACTTTTCTGGAACTAATTTTCAAAGTGGTTATTGAAGTTTTTTAAGAGAGTAAAAGCCTTCAGAAAAACGGCTTATGACAAATCTATATTTGGACTTTTACAAAAACAAATCATTCATTTCTATTAATTGAGCAAAGATCAACTTGGTATTTTCTGGGTACAAAACAGTATTTTTTTTTTCCTCTTGGCTTTTCCAAGTTAATATATTTGAATCTGTTTAATCTTTGAATGGTGTATAAGCTTCCCTTGTTCAGAGGTACCATTTTCTTACTAAATTACACAGGTCTGTAAATGGGAAGGGATAACATTTTTACTTCTAATCTTGTTTTTGTTTTGGTTTTGGTACCAGGGATCAAACTTGGGTCCTTGCTCTTGCGAGGCAGGTGGCGGAACCACTGAGCTACATCCCTGGCCCTTTTCTTCCAGTCTTAACTAGCAGCTTATATTTAGGATGCAATGGAGAATATATCTTTTCTAGATAGCTAACAACATTGTCATCTTTGGTTTTTGAGAGTTTAAAGTATTTTAAAATGGTTTAACTAGGGGCTGAGATAGGAGGATCACAAGTTCGAGTCCATCCTGGGCAATTTATCAGCTTTGCAAGACCCTGTTTCAAATAAAAGATGAAAAGGGCTTGGCATGTAGATCAGTGCAAAGGTTCTGGGTTCCATTCCTAGTGCTGGAAAAAAAACTTTAACTATGTTCTTGCCATGTTGTTAACAAGGTGAGAATTAGGCTCACCTACTAGATATTACATAAATACAATGAAAATTAAGACCAGAATTTAAAAAATGAAACTGAAAACAAATCTGGGGATAATTATGCATATTTTATCTCTATTTAAGGTTACCTTCTTGTCGCCTGTTATTCCTTTCTCATAATGGGCCAAAGCATTTGCATAACCTCCCCTGAAAGAAAGATCAGAGTGAATTTTAACTCACATTTAAGTATCTGCATACACAAACTTTAAAAATCATCTTTGTTAGAAAGTTGCTGAAGCTCACAGAAGGTGTGGAGTACAGCAAGCATTCTGTCAAAGCGCAACTCACCATTCTGCCACTTTAAAAGTATTAAACTGGAATATCCTGCACGCTAAAGAACCTGCTTGTGATATGGGAGGCATTTTGAGGGAACTACAGTAAACTCTATGGATCGTTTTTAATGGATTATTTCTTTTGGAGCGCTAAGTGACAATCGTGTGACCCTAAAAACCAATCCCCCCCGCCAAAGGCCCAGCGTTTATAAGAAGATATACTGTTGCTCATGGTGGTGCACACCTGCAATTCCAGCACTTGGGGAAGCTGAGGTAGGAGGATCAAGACTTTGGGGTGAGTCTGGAACAAGGGGTGATCAGACAATAGGGAGAATGTTCATTTAAAAACATGACAGTAAAAGATACACTGTCACTCATGTGCTCAGAATTCTCCCCTTTGGTTCCAACAAGCCTGTGTCATTGTTCTTGCCAGTCTGAAGCAGGTCTGCGAGTCCTCCTTGGTGATTGTCTTTCCTGAGTGTCTTTAGGAGCCATGACCAAAAATATGGTGAAGGTAGCTGTCTAGTGTCATCCAATGAAAAGGTAGGCTCCTAAAAACATTACAGTGTGTCTTCATCCACCCTTTACACCGGATTTGGCACCATGTCACTTCTGGCTCTTCCCAGAGTCAAAATGGCTGTGAAAGGTAAATGCTGGAACTGGCTCAGAACACGGAGGCAGCCATATTCTGAGGAGGATTAAAGGCAAATGTGGCTTTCACTGTAATAAAATTTTTGAAAATTGAAACATTCACTGTAGTTTTTTTTTTTTGGTACCAGGGATCGAACTCGGGTCCTTGGGCTTGTGCAGCAGGCAGCGAAACCACTGAGCTAAATCCCCGGCCCTATTCACTGTAGTTTTTGATCACATCTTATGTATTGTGAGATCTTATATCTCATAAAAGAAAAAAAAATAGGGAGAAGAATACGTGCTGAGAAAATGTGGGCTGCTATCAGTTTATTCAAGATAGAAACAGAGGAACAAACTAGGATTTATAGTACTGATGGCCGTTTTAATCCTGATCACAAGTATAACACATAATAAAACTGTTAGTTTGGGCCGGGGATTTAGCTCAGTGGTTTACAAAAAATCGAACTCAGGTCCTCGTGCTTGGGCAGCAGGCGGCGAAACCACTGAGCTAAATCCCTGGCCCCCTTTTCAGTTTTTATTTTGAGATTAGTTTTCACTAAATTGCCCAGGCTGGGCTTGAATTTGCAGCCCTCCTGCCTAAGCTTCCCAGAGTGAATGTCTGCTCTTTGTATTACCCAGTCTCGGGTATTGTGTTATAGCAGCACGAACCAATTTCCGTATCCTTCCCTCTGCCTTGAAATTACACTGCAAGCCCTCAGCGTGCTAAGAGGTCAGGATCGTGAGTGCAGTGTGTCACTCTGATGGTGTGCATCCCTGTTGAGGGCTACGGGTGGTTCAAATGGTGCCTAGACCCTAAATGGGGAGAAGGCCTAGACCCAAGCTTACAGTACAGGCTAAAAATGAAAGTGGACAAATGCATGATTATCATTCGTTAGATACAAAGGTTCTTCTCCCTGAAAAGAAATGGTTAAGTCGAGGGAAGGCCTTCCCATTAATGGCAGTTCAGAACTGAAGGTACGCAGCAGTTAGCTACCGATTAAAGGGCAGAAGGCGAGGACTTACGTGGATTCAAGCTGAATCGCATACTCTTTTGCTATAAACGGTATTTGTTCTGGGGCCAAGCGTTTTGCCAGTCGAAGAGCACTGTCCCAGTGCTGTAAATCCCTCCTCATCTGTTAGGAAGAGAAAGACTTTAACTTCCGAAGACCGAATGATTCCGCAGAGTCCCCGCATGGTGCCACCTTTCACGAAAGCGGTTACAAAAACTGGCATGCTCGGTGGAGCTGACAGAGCCTCCGGGGCGCAGAATCTCAGCGCTGACCGAGGTTTGTGACGCGCCCCACGCTCAGTCCTCCCCAACAAAGTCATGCCTTCATATTTGATTTTTCTCAGTAAGGACAAATTAAATTTAAATGGACATAATAAGCCAAAATTAATTTCCCATCCTACAAGGGAAATAATGAAAAGTTGAGACACGCTTTACTGTAGGAATTGATAGTCTTTTCTTAGACCGTTTGAAGCTATATTGCAATTGAATAACAGAAAACATAAATAACATTTGAACTGTTTCTCTCCCTGGTTCCAAATATATAAACGTATATTCCAAATATAAGCCAGCCTCTCAAGAATGAGAATCTTAAGACTCATTCCTCACCTTCCTTACCCATCTGGAGAATCAGTGATAACTCACACTGTTTAGGTGCTGGTCTTTGCCGGGCACTGAACTAGGGCAGGCTTATCTGCCTTTTCACAGCTACCCTTTTGTACTGAGCTTTTCTGACCCCTACTGAACGGCCTCTGACCTCTGTATCCAGCTCCCATACCCCTCCCTCAACGTGAGGTTAAAGAACCGACAGATCGCAATCACCCCTCTCCACTCTGAAGCCATTCCCTCCAATGTTGAACCAAGTCAACAATGCCCCGCGCCCCCCGGTAAAGAAAGGCAGGAGAGAGACGCTGGCGCGGCGACCGGGCCCTGAGGCTCTGCCGCGCGCCGCCCGGATCCCGCCGCCGCCGCCGCCACGCGCCCTCGCAACCCCGTCCCCGCGTGCCCCGGACACGCGAGCCGCGGCCTCAGCGGCGTCTGGGAGCAACGGAGCAGGTGCCCCGGGACCCGCGCCGTGCGCGC